ACACATCCGAGTCACGTGCATCATCGCAATGCGCAGTCATCTTGGTTCCAGCCACGTGGGCTCGGGCGATCGCCAGGCCACAGCGCTGCCTCGCCTCCTCGGCGGGCAGCGGCGCGGCGACGGCGACGGCTGCGCCGGCCGGGGCCACTGCTTCTGCGGGACGGCGCCGGGGCGCCCTCGTGGCGGCCGAGGCGCCGCAGCGGACGTCTGCACGGCGGCAGCCGGCAGCGCTTCGCGCACGAGCCGCGCCGTCGCCGCCACATGCCGCCGCCCCCGTCGGCGTCGCCGTCGGCGTCGGCGTCGTCGGCGTCGTTCGCGGCGACGACGACGACGACGACGACGGCGCCACCGCCGCCAGCGGCAACGACGATGTTCGTCGTCGTTGTCATCGTCGTCGTCGTCGTCGCCACATGCCGCCGCCCCCGCCGACGGCGATAACCGGGCGGGGCTGGGACGAGGATGACTTGTTCCAGAGAGCTCCGGAACGCTCTCCGAGCTGTCCGGAAGGCTCGGAGCAGGCTGCGGCGCCCGATGCATCCTCCAGGATCGCTGGACCTCAGAGAGCCCCAGCTCATCCCTGCTGTTGTCGCCCCTGTCCTCGTGTCGTCGTAGACTCTGCGGCGAGAGGGCTTTGAGAAGCCCCGCTCCCTTCTGAGAAGACCTTCTCCTTCTCACTTCCCCCCTGGGCGCGCCGCCGAATTTGGTGTTTGGCTCAAATCTCCTCCTCCTCCTCCTCCCCCTCCCCCCTCCCCCTCCTCCTCCTCCTCCTCCTCCTCCTCCTCCTCCTCCTCCCCCCTCCTCCTCCTCCTCCTCCTCCTCCTCCTCCTCCTCCTCCTCCTCCTCCTCCTCGGGTCTCCGGCGGCCGTGCGGGGCGATCCAGGCACCCCCAGAGCGCCCGCGGCGAGGCGCAGCTGCCGGCAAGCACCCCGAGGCTGGAAAACCGCCGAGAACCAAGGGAAACGTCCGAAGGGGGAGGAGGAGGGGGAGGAGGAGGAGAAGGGGGTAGGGGGAGAAGGGGGGAGGAGGAGGCCCAGCTCGGCCATGGGGGCGGAGAGGGGCGTTGCGTAATGGAGGGGTCATAAATGGGGGGGCGGCGAGGGTGGTCCGAAAAGGTACCCAAACGGTACCTAAACGAGCCCCCGAGGCTCGTTTAGGTACCCAAAAGGTACCCAAACGGGGTATCTTTTGGGTACCAAACGGTACCCAAAAGGTACCCAAACGGTACCCAAACGGTACCCAAACGCTACCTAAACGGCTCCGGAGGGGCCCGAAAGGGGCACGAAAGGGGACCTTTTCTGACCCCCCCATTTGTGATCCCCCCATTAAGCCACGCCCAAGAAAACCGCCGAGAACCAAGGGAAACGTCCGAAGACCTCGAACCTGGGCCCCGAAATGTCCCCCCCCCCCCTGCTCGCCGCCGAGAGATGGCAAAGACGCGCCGACGCCTTCGGCCGCGCCAGCGGCGGAGACGGCGCGCAGGAGGCGCGGGCGCCGGAGGCTGGCGGCGGCGCGGGCAGCGGGGCGCGGCGGCCTGGGAGCCGTGGCGGCAGCGGGGGCGGGCGCACTTGGCGGCAGCCTCGGCTGCTGCCGCGGCGCCTACGGCGACCTCCGCGCTGGCCACGACTCCAAGACAGCCCAAGAGGGCCCCAGGATTCGAAGGAGAGAGGACGCCATGAACGTAAACTTGGGGCGCTCCGCGCGGATTTCTGGGATCCGCGCTGGGGCCCCCCCGCGGCGCCTCCAGCGCCCCTGGCGCGCTCCGCGCGCTAGGGAGCTGGCTGCGGGCGGTGGCGCCGGCGGCGGCCGGCGGGATGGTTGGCCGCGGCGGTGGTTTCGGAGGCCGCGGGCGTCCTGGCTCCTCTCCTCCTGTGCTCAGGAGCCTTGTGAGGGCTCGGGCTCTTTGTGCCTCCTCCTGCTGCTCCTCCCTTTCTTTCGCTCCGTCTCCAGACATGGCTTGATCGACTGCAAAAATCTGGATAATCCTCATCATCATCCTCCTCCTTCTCCTCATCATCATCATCATCATCATCAGCATCATCATCATCATCGTCATCATCGTCATCATCGTCATCATCATACTTAGCATCCTTTCCCTTCTCCTCCTCCTCCTCCTTCTCCTCCCTCCTGCTCCTCCTCCTCCTCTTCCTCATCATCATCCTCAGCATCCTCGGCATGCTCATAATCATCCCCATCACCACCACCATCATCATGATCATCATCATCATCAGCAGCAGCAGCAACAGTAGCATCATCATCTTCATCTTTCTCCTCCACGACCCCTCGGTCCCCTTCGGGGGGGCAGACACAGCCGCGCCTCACGCAGCTCGAAGCGCGACAGAAGGTGGTGCAGGAAGTTTCCGGAGAAGCGCCCGCAGCCCTCTGGAGACCTCCAGAGCCCTCTGGAGGCCCAGCCAGGCCCAGAAGCGCCACAAAACTGCAGGCCTTCGGCACTCGCGCGCAGGAGATGCGGGCGTTCGCGGTGATGACCGGCTTCGAGGGCAGCGATGCCGAGTGGGCCGACGCCTACAAGGGGCTCTGCGCGGACGCCGGCAGCGGGGGCGCCGTGGACCGCCGCGGCTTCACGACCCTCGTGGACGATCCCTCCGAGGACGGTGCGGCTCCAGGGGCGGCCGGCGGGCCCGATTCGACAGGCCCTCAGATCTGGGCGCTCCGAAGGAATCACGACGGCTGCTGCTGCCAAGTCTCGGGCCGGGGGGCCTTTCGGGATCGATCTGGGGCGAGTTGGACGCCGCAGAAAGGTTTGGTCGAGAGCTCTGGCCACGATTTCGGTACACGACGTTGAGATTGTTTCACGACGTCGGCTTTGGGGGTGCGCCCGTGGCTGCGTGTCTCTCAGGAGCAGCGATATGGGGGGGATGGGCACAGGGGGGCGGGGGCGCATCGACCCCCAATCGTCCACTCGTCGCCGATAGGGGCCCGATGGTCCACCCCCGCCCAGGGAGGTGCGAAGTCACTATCGGGAGCCCATCGCCGATCCATCGGCGACGTATCGCCGATTCCAGGTCGATGCTTGCCCCCCCCATGCCAGTCCCCTCGCCGCCCCCCGGTCTCACCAGGGAACATGATTTTCTTGGTGTGGCTGGCCTGGGCGAAGGTTGCAGTCGGACCGAGGCATAAGATCGAGATCGGCTCGGGGAGGGTACCCTAACGTTCTTCGTGTGTGTTGGATGTTCTTGTGGGCCCTGGGCCTGGGATGAAGTATGTTCTTCTGGCCTATGTAGGTCCGACTGTACGTCTGCTCTTACTGCTTCCTGAGGCGTCGGACCCGCAGTCTGGAGAGCGACAGTCGGGACGCGGGAGGAGCTGACAAGCCCACGCGCAGGAGGGAGGAGAGGCGAGGCGAAGCCAAGAGCGAGGCGGTCGCCTCAAGCCGATCCGTCAGCGCTCGGCGAGAGGGGGGAGAGGGAGGAGGGAGGGCGCAGGGGAGTTGAGCACACATGCGGCCGGTACCGTTCCAGCGCTTCTGGCTCTGGCGTGGTTGGACGTGCGTGTCCATCGCATTGGCGCCGCACGCTCTGCGTGTGAATCCAGCCGCGTGTACGTGTATGGGGCGCGGTAGGTCAAGAGATGATACTCGCAAATGTACTGTGCAGCCGGTGTCCTCACTCGTCTTCCTGTGTGCGAGCACTGTTGTATCCGGCGGTCCCAAAACTGTGCGCGACTGATCACAGTGTAAGACAGGTTGCAGTGGCGGCTGGCTGGACGACTGTATCTGGCATCGGGCTCTTCGGTGGCACGCACAAGTGCAGGCGCAGATCCTGCTCCTCGTGGGATCAGCAACCGAGCTGCTCACACATGCACCTGAGTTGCACAGTGCTTGTCGTAGACTTGCAGCAGTATCATGAGGCGCCAGGAAGGAGCATCGAAAGATGTTCATGCACACTCTCGCTGGTTGCAATACATCGAACAGCCCCCAAGCAGTTGCCATTCGAATAGGTGTTCATGCTGGCCAAAAAAAGTGCGATCATTGCCAGGGTACGCGAGGACGGAGGAACTCACATGGCAAGATCAGAAGAAGCATGATCTGGATAAGCAAGGATACGTGGAGATAAGGTGGCGACATATGTGTGTACATATCTATATGTAATTGGGGGATCCCCCCCACACACCCACCAAGGTCTATCTGAAACCCTTCCTCTTTGAACCACTTTTCGTCGGGATCATTTGTCTTCGAATTTCCTTTCGGCAATCCTCTTTCCGAGTCTTGTCATTAAGCCGCCATAGGAAGGTTTTTTGTTGTAAGGCGGCCAGGCAAGTAATCTTGCCGAAACGTCCCAACAGAAGGTCTCCATTTGTAAGGGCGCCACAAGAGCAATCGTGTTGCAAGGGCGCCACAAAAAATATTGTGGTAAGGCCACAACATAGGGAAGCCTTGTTTCGCAAGGCTGGCACACAAAACCTTTTTTATAAGGCCGCAACAGAAGGAATTATTTGCGCAAGGACGCCACAAACGGAATCCGGTGTGAAGGGCAGCCACAGCAGGAATCCTTTGTTTCGTAAGGTTGCCACAACAGGAGTCCCTTTGCAAGGGCGCCACAAAAAAAAACGTGTACACAATGGAAACCATGAAAGCACAGAAAACACAGCGATAACATTGAGAAACAAAACCAGTGGTGTGCACTATTTTGTTGTGTTTGGTGTTCTTTGCTTTTGATGTATGTTCATAGATGCTCATTGTAGTTCACTGTTGCGTGTGATGTTTTCATCGGTTTACTTTGGTATTCAAAATGATTTACTGTGTGTTCATAGGTGTCCGTTGGTTGTCATTGCTGTTTCGCTATCCAGCTTCGCCAAATCCGAGGTGTTGGCAAAGTCCACTGTTTCATTCAAGCTCGATGAGCGAATTGCACGCCAGCCGACTTCAGTGCTGACTCCACAGACCTCGGATGCAACAAAAAAAATTTCGAACAGGCCGTCGCAAATCGCGACGTGATCAGTACCCTCCCGACTACGGGACGCAGCCATCAGCAAATCGAGCTGTTTGCACGCGAGCACATGGTCTCAGAGTGTGATACCATCACACCGAAGTTCGGCGATGACCTGGAAGTTTTGATCTCCAGTGCGGTGAAGTCTCTCTTGGACTGGGCAGTATATAAGCGCGGGAATTGTTCTGGTTTGGTCAAGTTCCTCTCAACTACGAAGGTGGATGTGAGATACATGCAGAGCGTACGGCAGTTGATCGTCGGGACGGCCCCGATGTCTGGAATCTCCGGCAGTGCGTGTGCGTTTGGGAGTTGTTCGTGAAGCCAGATAATTTCAAGCTTCGCAGTCTTTTCGGGAAAGGGCTTCTGGATTTGCACAGGACTGCCACCACGAAGGACACGGTCAAAGCCATCTCAGTCAAGACAGACGGCGAGTTCATGCACTTCGAGCCAACGAAGCGCGAGCATGCGCAGCCAGAGCTCAAGGCTCTGGTCAACCTGAAGCGACCCGTCATCGCAAGCGATTCCGAGGTGATCGGCATCGCCCTCTACAGCAAGAAACTGTTCAATTTCTCATACGGCACAACGTTGGCCGACGGGCTGGCAGAGACGATCCAGCTCCTCGTTGCCCTTCCGGCGGGCATCAGCCATCCCCTCATCGCAGGGATGGAAATGTTGGAGCTTAACAAAAACATCCGCGATATCGATGCCTCCTTCCCGGCGTTGAACTGGGCGGATCCAGCTTGCGTCGGGCACGGCCGCACCTATCCCGCCATGACCGGAGAATGGTTCCGGTCGACGGAGCACGGACATTTGCCCATTGTGATCCGCGGCATTTTCCGCGAATTCGAAGTCGCGACGTTTTTGGGGACGGTTGCCCCAAGATTTTCGTCTACATGAAGGATGGCCGTGCTATTTGGCGCTTCCGCCGACAGCGATCGAGAAGATCTCCGGCCACCTGGAGGCCACGAGGCGGGCCCGAGCCGCGTTGCCAGAGATGTTTGATACGCCGCGGCTGATTGCGCAGCGTGAGCAGGAGCTCCAGGGACAGTCGGATCTGGCGGCAAAGCTCACCGAGAAGTTGGCAGACTTTTTGGAGTCGACGGGTTCCGAGGAGGTCGCTGCTGCCATTCACTGGGCAGCGGGCGAAGTGTCGGAGACGGACATTGATATCTCTGGTGCATTTGCGCCTCCAGAGATCGCAACGACGACGTCAAACCAAGACGCGACTGGCTGTCTGCAGGGCGGGTTTTCGTTGAGTGAGTTGAGTGTTTTTGTGTTTTGATGCCGATGACGACGGTAATGGTGGCGGTTATCATATCGCAGTGCTGATGGCGATGGCGACGGTGATGGCGATGACGGCGGTGGTCATCACATCCACAACCACCATCGTCACCATCACCATCATCACCATCACACTCGCCCTCACCATACCATCATCACCGCCCCCATCATCCCCATCATCATCACCACCCATACCGTCGCCATCGCAATCACCATCATCACAATTGTGGCCCGTGGGAATTAGCTCAAGGAAACGTCGTCGTCCCCTTCGGCTTCCCCGAGCCCTGAATCGATTGAGTTTCCAATTGTGGATGACGACGATGACGGCGGTGATGGTGATGGGGGCGACGGCGATGGTGATGGTGCGGATGGTGATGGCGACGATGGGGAATATCGTACATCACGTTCTTCCGCCGCTCCTTCCCCTCCTCATTATCATCACCATTGGTTTTCGATGGTTTTGATGGCGATGTTGGGGACGATCGTAAATCAGATTCTGCCGCCGCTCCTCCTTCTCCTCATCAGCATCATCGGTTTTCGACGGTGTTCATCCTCATCACCGCCATCAGAACCACCATCATCATCATCGTCATCGTCATCATCACCATTACCATAATCGTCATCATCATCGTGATCATCGTCGTCATCATCATCCTCGTCGTCGTTGTCATCGTCATCATGGGCGGCAAGCCAGTACTGCGGGCAACGACGACGACGACGACCCCCCCCGTCCACGACGACGACGACGACCCCCTCCGTCCACGACGGCGACGACGATGACGACGACGACGACGACGACGACGACGGCGGCGGCGGCGGCGGCGACGGCGGCAAACACGGATTGTCCTTAAGTTGATGGAATTTGGCCTCTTGGGGGGGTCGTTGGAGGGCTCGGAGGGCACTTGAAACCCTGGGCCGTTTTGAGGCCTTTTGGAGGCATGTCGGAGGCTATCTTGAGGTATATTGGGCCATCTTGGGGGCCATCTTGGGCTCTATGAGGCTCTCTTGAAGCCGTCTTGGACCGTCTTGGACGCTCTAACCCTTCGCCCCCCTCCCACCCCCTTCCGGGCCCAGGGAGGGGGGGGGAGGTAAACCTCCCAGAACAGAGGGAGGAAGGAAGAATTTGAGATCTAACACCCCACGTTACATCTCCTCCTCCCCCTCCTGCCCCCCCCCCCGGAGACTTTCAAGACATTCGTGTGCGGTGGGTGCTCGGGCGAGAGCCGAAGTTTGAAAACGACCCCCTCCGTCCACGGCGACGACGACGACCCCCTTCCGTCCATGACGACGACGACGACGAAGACGACGACGACGACGACGACGACGACGACGGCGGCGGCGGCGGCGGCGGCGGCGGCGGCGACGGCGTTGACGACGAAGCCTTCCGTCCACGACGGCGACGACCCCCTCCGTCCATGACGACGACGACGACGACGACGACGACGACGACGGCGACGGCGTCGTCGTCGTCGCCACGCCGTTGGGCGTCCGGCGTCCCTCAGCAGGGCGGGCCGGGCGCTTCGCCTGAGACTCCCCCTCTGAGCTCCCTGGGAGTTCTAACATGCTATGTTAGAGCTCCCTGGGAACTCGAACGTGCTATGTTAGAGCTCCCTGGGAGCTCTAACATGGCATGTTAGAGCTCAAAACGAAATCTATCATGCGAAGCTAAAGCTCAAGCCGAGCTCCCATAGAGTTCAAATCGAGATCTAACATCAGACGTTGGATCTCAACTCCAGGTAGACCTCAAGGCGAGCTCAAACATGCCATGTTAGAGCCCCTGGGAGCTCGAACCTGCCATGTCAGAGCTCGAGCTGAGTTCGGACTTGCTATGTTAGAGCTCCCTCTCTCTCCCTGGGAGTTCTAACACCACGTGTTAGATAACATGATATGCTAGATCTCCCTGGGAGCTCTAACATAGCATGTTTGAACCCACATCGAGCTTTAACACAGCTATAAGCAGACACTGTGAGAGACAGAGCGAGAGAGAGAGAGAGACACACACACACACACACACACACACACACACACACAGCGAGCGAGAGAGACAGAGAGGGAGCTCCAAAGGTTTCGGTGGAGATCGCTCCAAAGGTTTCGGTGGGGATCGGAAGCTTGCGCTGTTTCAGCTGTCGGGGGAGATCGCTCTGGAGGTTTCGGTGGGGATCGCTCGACGGAACGCATCCTCCCCCATCCTCGTCCTCGTCCTGCTCTCCCATCTTCGTCCTGCTCTCCCATCCTCGCCCTGCTCTCCCATCCTCCCCCATCGGGGGTTTCTGCCTCGCCCTGCTCTCCCATCCTCCCCCATTCCCATCCCCCTTCTCCGGGGGGCGGCCCTGGGGCAACAACGGTGAATTTGGAGATCTCTGGTAGCGAATGGTGCGGGTGCTGCTGTTGGCGCTGTTGCTGCTGCTGGTACTGCCGGTGGTGGTGGTGCTGCTGCTGGTGCTGCTGGTGGTGTTGTTGGTTATCGTGCTGCTGGTGTTGCTGCTGGCACCGCTGCTGGTGCCGTTGTTTGTGTTGGTGCTGGTGCTGCTGCTGCTGCTGCCGGTGCTGCTGCTGGTGTCGCTGGTTCTCGTGCCGCCCAGCCGTGGCGAGGAGGAGGCCCCCCGAAGGCAAACCTCGAGGCTCGAGGTTTGAACCTCGATGTGTACCCCCTCCCCCGCCCACCTCCCTCCCTCTCCCCCGCCGCCGCCGCCGCCGCCGCCATCGCCGCCGCCGCCGCCGCCGCCGCCGCCACCGTCGTCGTCGTCGTCGTCGTCGTCGTCGTCGTCGTCGTCGTCGTCGTCTCTGATGTCGCTGTCTTCGCCGCGAGGAGGAGGAGGAAGGAGGAGGAGAAAGTGGACAAGGAGCAGGAGGAGGTGAGGGAGGGGGAGGAGAGAGGAGGGAGGAGGAGGAGTAGGCTGACAAGGAGGAGGAGGAGGAGGAGAATGAGGAGGAGGAGGAGAAGGATGAGGAGGAACAAGAAGCATGGATAACATAAGAGCCTATTCGGATCTCTCTTGGAAGTTGTTAGAGGCTTCTTCGGGCGTCTAACAACCTACGTCCGTGTTAGAGGCTTCTTCGGGCGTCTAACATCCTATGTTCGAACTCGATTTGAGTTCTAACATCACTTGTTGGAACTCGATGCGAGTTCTAACGCCCTATGTTGGAAGCATGTTAGAGCTCCCAGAGAGTTCTAACATGCTGTGTTAGAGTTCCCTGGGAGCTCTAACATGCTGTGTTAGAGCTCCCTGGGAGCTCCCCAAGGGCACTTAACTGGACATGTTAGAGCTCCCAGGGAGCGCTAACATCCGATGTTAGAGCTCCCAGTGAGCTCCAACAGAGCATGGTAGATTTCCCAGGGAGCTCTAACATGTATTGTTAGAGATCCCTGCCTGGGAGCTCTAACATGGAGCTCTAACACGGCCTGTTAGAGCTCCCAGGGAGCTCTAACACCGCATGTTAGAGCTCCATTTGAGCTCTAATAGTTTTCGTTTTTGGGCTCCAACATGCCATGTTGGAGCCCCCTGGGAGCTCTTTCTAACATGCCATGTTATCAGAGCTCCGCGGGAGCTCTAACATAGCCTGTTAGAGCTCACACGGAGCTCTAACCCAGCACGTCAGAGCTCGATTTGAGCTCTGACCGCGCCGGTGCCCCGAGGGGCCCTGGTGGCGAGACCCTTCCAAAATCGATGTTGAACCCGTCAAGGGCCCCTGGGGGGGGAGCTTAACAGGTTCCAAATCGATCTTGAGCCGGTTAAGACCCCCCCCTGGAGGAGGGGGTCGTAACCGCTTCCAAATCGATTTTGAATTTGTTAAGAACCCCTGGAGGGGGGGGGGCGTTAACAGGCTCAAAATCGATTTTGAGCCTGTTAAGCGCCCCTGGGGGGTGGGGCTTAACCGGCTCAAAATCGATTTTGACCTTGTTAAGGGCCCCTGGGGGGGGGCTGGGGGCTCCACAGGCAAAAAGGGGGGTCCCAGGAGGGGGCTTAACCGGCAAAAAGGAAGGCTTTAACAGCTTCAAAATCGATTTTGAAGGTGTTAAGACCCCCCCCTGGCGGAGGGGGGTCTTAACTGGCTCAAAATCGATTTTGAGCCTGTAGAGCCCTCCCCCCCAGGGGCCCTTAACAGAGTCAAAATCGATTTTCAATCGGTTAAGCCCCCCCCAGGGGCGCTTAACAGGTTCAAAGTCGATTTTGAACTGGTTAAGACCGGCCTCCGCCAGGGGGGGGTCTTAACCGGCTCAATAACATGTTTTTAACCTGTTAAGCCCCCCCCCCAGGGTCCCTTAACGGGTTCAAAATCGATTTTGAAGGGGTCTCGCTGCCAGGGCCCCTCGGGGCACCGGCGCAGTCAGAGCTTAAATCGAGCTTTGACGTGCTGCGTTAGAGCTCCCAGGGAGCTCTAACATGCTACGTTAGAGCTCCCAGGAGCTCTAACATGCTATGTTAGAGCTCCCACGGATTTCTAACATAGGATGTTAGAGCTGAAGTCGAAATCTAACATAGCATGTTAGATCTCACATCGAGATCGAATATACTATGTTAGATCTCAAACCGCCGCTGCCGCCGCCGTCGTCGTCGTCATCGTCGTCGTCGCCGCCGTCGTCGTCGTCGCCGTCGTCGTCGCCGCCGCCAACTGTGGAAGGCTTTCAAGACATTTGCGTGCGGCGCACGGGCGAGAGCCGAACTTTGAAAACGACACCCTCCGTTCGCGGCGACGACGACGACGACGACGACGACGACGACGACGACGACGACGACCCCCTCCGTCCACAACGACGACGACGATGACGACGACGACGACGACGGCGGCGGGGGCGGCGGCGGCGGCGACGGCGGCGGCGGCGGCGGCGGCGACGGCGACGGCGACGACGACGACGACGCTGTGGGACGGTCCGAGCTTCAAGGTCACAAGGGGTGGGGGGTCTCAGGCGAAGCGCCCGGCCCGCCCTGCTGAGGGGCGCCCGGCGGCGTGACGACGACGACGACGACGACGACGAC